AAGTCACTTCTGGCAAAGGCTTCTCAAATCCGTAAGGTGTACTTGGAGGAGACCAAGCCAGCTATCATAGAATTGAGGGTTCATTAGCAAGCCACCACAGAAGTGCAATTCCCAAAGGGCTTTTTCCCTGTGCAGAGTACCCTTTCTCTTCAAAAGCACGGCTTCAGGGGGCAGCAAAAAGATGCTTCATTTAAGGAAAAGTAAAAGGTGGCAACAACCGTCACAATGATGAAAGGGTTGGCTTCTAAGTAGCAGAATGACAAAAAGTTGTAGGGCTTTATGATATAGTAATTGAAAAAAGTATTAAGTTGTTAGTGGAAGTGTATTTAAGAGCCCCACACGTGGATGTAATAGAAAATTAATCCTCAGAGCCCAGAAAGTCCCTGAGGATGTAGAATCCATCATGAAGTTACCTCCTGTCCCAGATTTCCTTGTTGCTTGCCTCTGCTGACAACAGTTGTCTTTTCATTAGAGTATTTGATATCAATTTACTCAGACACCAGGGGCAAAAAAGGGTTTCACTTTCTTCATCTGAAAGACACTGATCCACAGAATTAGTACTTTGAACAGATGCCAGAGTAAAATAGTGACACATTTTCTAAACTAATAACCACAGGTGGCCACAGCAAATTGTCCAAAGCCTCTCAGGGCTGCCCAGGCAGCCACGACTCTCCTGAATTTCTGATGATTCTGATACAGACAACAACCCTCACTGCAAAGGTATCTTCTTCCAGCCAGCTCTTGCTGTGATTCGTGTTTCTAAACTAACCCCATAGAGAAATGCCACCATTTTTAATGCCCTCTGTCAGGTAATGCCCATTCTTCTGCAGCAGAGAATGCGAGGCAGTAACTGATCTAAGTGCATTTTCAGGATAAAATCTCTCAAAAAAGGTTAGCCTGCATTCTGCCATGAATTAAGCATTAAATTAACTTCATGTGATACAGCAAATAACCTCAGGAAGGGTCTCTACCTCACCTAATTTGACAAGAGTTGGCTACTACTGCTGCAAGAACCAACGGTGCAAAACGCCTGGAGAAGCAATGACCCAGTTGGAAGAAGGTTATCACACAGCTGATTCCAACTGACTTGGCATCTTGTGAAACCTATGGTTCCCCCCAAACGCAGTGTGAAACTTTGCCTACTTACAAATGTTTCCACGGCATTGGCTCATTTCTTTCTCAATCCTTGATTGCATTGAGGATTCATCACAGAAATACTTACAAAAATGTACTGCTCTGAAATGGCTGGTTCTGCACCCACAGGGGTTCAGATTTAGTTGCTCAGGTTAGAGCCCAGTTGCCCTGTAAGAACCCTGGAAGGGGAAGAGCCCTAGCTGAAACGTGGCAGAGCTGCACTCTTCACTGTGCTTTCAGCACACCTAGAGTTAGGCTTAAGCAAGAAGCTGACTCTGCAACTGAAGAAATGCTTCTGGACCTGCAGCAAGAAGAGCTTGTGCTTTGCTACAGGCAGAAGCAAATATTGAATACAAATTTAATATCTAAAATTAGACAGTATGAATTTTCTCCTAAGCACTGATGGATCTTGGTGGAAGAGTGGAAAATGAAGGTGGAAACCTGAGAGCACCAGAAACAAACCCCTCTGTTTATCAGCAGGACACCTACACAGTGGACATGAGAGCCTCTGTACTCAGTACATCACTGACCTACAGTGATCCCTCACACGCAGCAAAGATCTATCAGGGTTTGGACTCGACAAGGTTTCTAATAAGGTACAAAACCATGCTATTTTTATCAGAATACTCGTGATCAAACGGAGACAACCAATTTATTCCAACAGAAACCAGCATAACACCTGAGAATACTTGCATAGTAGGTTTTTCTCCAAAAACAGAGTGAAAGGATGTGCAAAAGCATCAGTTATTGCTATTCCTCCATCACTGTTTTGTCATGTTACTTTGATGCCCAGATGAGCTTACTCACTCAAAGTCTCCCCCTCCCTCAGGGTAGGTGTGCTGTTAATTCGGTACAAGGTGTGAAAAACAGCCTGCAAGACCATGAGATGCTGAGCAGAGCTTCCCCTCTCATCTTCAGCTGCTTCATTGCCTTCACTGCAGCTTCAGCAAAGACTGAACACAAGACCCCACTTTCTGCCCATAGGAGAAATTGTACATATTTTATCCCACAGTCATTTTGCAACATGGACAACACCCAAAAACACTGATCCAGCTTCAGTCAGATGAAGTGTGTTTGTCCTTACAAGCATCCCTGATCTGGGATGAGATCCATGAGCAGGAGAGGGAGCAATGGTCCTAGCAGTCGTCCCATCCCACAGGCACAGGATGCTCCCTGTGCCTCCCAAAGGTACAGGGCTGAAGCCCTTCTCAGCCCTCTTTATTTTGACTGCCAGTCCAGGCAGGAAAAGTGCACAACAATTAAGTGTGTTCAGATACCACATTTGCAGGGATTTCATCCCAGCCACCGTTTCCTACACTGAACATTAGACTTGGTACTTTTTCTAGTCAACTCTACTTTGTTGCAGAGAAAAACCCTGAAAAAAAAACAAACAAAAACACTGACAAAATTCAGCAGCTTTTGAAAAGAAACCTTTAAAGACAGTTACTAGTTATGTTTTTGAAGTCAGTCTAAATGGTTGGGAAGAAAATGCTCAAACCAACTTAATAATTTCTGTACTTGAATAATTGTGGTATGCATGCATATAGTAGTCTGAATGTTTTTACTGGACTTTTTAAATATATATATATGATTTGGCTATGATTCTTTAGTATTTACTTCGGAAAAATTCTGAGGTCATATTGTTATTGAGGAAGAAAAATCATACTCTCTCAGTCCAACAGTTTGCCACTTGTCAGCAGTTAACGCTATCTTCAACTCAGGTATTCAGATTTCATATAAAATTCTCTCCTCATATTTTACTCTTCTTTCTCTTAAAGAGATGTTCCTGTTTTGCCAAAGACACACCATAAATTATTTGTACTTCTATTACTAATAAAGAAGTTTTACAAGACAAGGAAGTTATAGGTGAGATAGCTCCTCAGGCTGATGCTGAGTGCCTTTGAAAAATGCCCTCCATAAACATAACATTGACATTGCTACAGCATCATAAAGTCAGAGTCAAGTCCTGTAAACATTAAAGTACCCAAGTTACTCATCTATCCGTGTCTTTAAAGTCAGTCACTTGTTGCTGTGCAGTACCACATTCCAATTACCGGAGCCCTGCTTTCCCAGCCGTGTTTCTCTTCCCTCCCCTGCATCGCTAAGGAGCCTTGGGTTTTGAGAGGTAAACTCAGCTCAACCTCCACCCAATGACTTCAGATTCATTTTCCCCATTTTTGACCAATTCCCTGTTTTTCCTGATACTTTCCTGGCCGGCTTTTCCTCGGCGATGTTTGCAGGGTGGAGCAGGGCTTTCCCTCCTCCTCCAGCTCCCTGGCAAACAGCCCATCTGGCATCCATGTGGCAGCATTTGCTACGTGGGATCTGGAGGAAAAGTGCCACATTACCAGTAGCAATCACGGCACAATGACACACAAAGAAATGACTTCCAGATTATTCCCATTTCTCCCTGAGATGTGGAGAAAAGCGTATGTGTAAAGCATCGCTTTTTTCTTTTCACTGCAGCTCACAGTGGTGATAATGTAGCACGGGTCTGCAGTAATATGTTTTCTTTAAGCCACCCGCTTCTCTCCAAAGGCTTAATACCACAAGGTCTCGCCTAAGCTTGGCTCCCAGCTGCACTGCTGAAGGTACTTGATGCATACACTTCGTAGTGTATGATCTAAAGAGCAGGGAGAATACATTTGCTATAGCCAAGTCACCCCAGATGAGAGCTGTTTGGGTTTAATATATACCCCTTAGGATTCTCTGCATTACAGGGGAAGGGAGGCAGGTAAACAGGCTTGGAGAAGAGAAAAAAGCATTGCTCACATATTTTAAAAGTTGCCTCAGGCAGTTATAAGTTACATAAAGTTGCTCCTGTTCCTGTTGTAGTTATGTCAAAGTTATCTAAGGTGACTAGCATGAAGTGACAACTCCAAACTTAGAAAACAAAGGTTCCTAAATGGGGCCTTTTCACATACACAAAATCGGAATATAACCCACAGCCCACAAACCAAGACACGACTTCCAAATCTTATTCTGATCATGAAGGTTATTCTAAGACACTTTTAAAAATAAAACATCTGTACTTAAAACCTAATTACTGGGAGATAAGCAGCACCTGAAAGAAACTATTCTTGTTTCCAGTAGTTGCAGTCATGGACTTCATTTAGCCTGGCACTTGTGTAATAATGTGAATATTTAGCTTTTTTGAGTATTTATTCCCTACACTCACGACTTCTAGAAATCCTTCAAAATCTATCACATTCGAAAAAGAAGATGAAATGAGAGATATTCTGGGGAAAATTATTCCCTTTTCTGAACATTCTTCTTCCCCACTTGCATTCTTCATTTCCCACACACATTTTTAAGGCACTACAATGCAAGTTTTCAGGAGCAAAATCTATGAGAAAAACCTAATTATATTTTTAAATAATCAAGGCAAAAATAAAAATTATCCCAACTAATTACAATGGAAAAAAGTTGTACATCTTTTGTGTATTTTATGAGAGAGAAAGGAATGATTAAAAACGTACCAAGAGCCATGAATGCCATTTTACTGTCATTTCCTTTGATTAACCTTCACCTGACCTCAATCCCTAAGGCAATTTCAGCTTCTTTTTGTTCTTCTATTTAAATTCTTCAGTACACCAGGTGAGCACATCTCCATCACTGCAGAACATTCATGGGGAGCGGATTGGTTTTGGGGAAGATTTCACAGAAAATACTTGCTCTGGAGAATCGTTTACAAAAACCTTAACAGGGACAGTAACAGGTCACATTTACTCCAAAAACGGGATTCTTACAGTCCCTGTGGAAGTACATAATGACCTTCCCTAGGTATTAGACACAACACACTTGAGCAAGCCACACCAGTTTACACCAGAGCAGGACCTTGGTGCCGCTGGCCAGTACAAACTTACCAACCCGGTCATGTTGGCAGTTCTCACTGACATCTCCGCTCTGCATCTGTAACGATGTCTGCTTCCACATGAGATATAAAATGTAACTTGCCCTCTGGAATGGGAAAAAAGCCAGCATGAACAAAAGCTTAAAAAGTAGATTATACATTCTTTGCAGAAGGAATGGATCCAGAGTTCAATGTTAGCACAGAAACCTGATAGCACAATTCTTTCTTATTTTAAAACTCACTGTTTTCAGTGAGTCTTGTGATCAGTAAAAATCATTAAATGCTGCATACTCAGACTCTACAAAAATCATATAAGATCTGTGAAGTATGCCTGATGAAATCTTAAGGAATAATAGAATCATAGAATCGTTAGGGTTGGAAAGGACCTTAAGATCATCTAGTTCCAACCCCCCTGTCTAAGCTATTTAGTTCATCAGAGACTGACTTAAGTGATGAGTCAATCCTCACCCTTAAATGATGATATGATGCTATGACTTCTGATAACAGAATCTATCAGGAAAAGATATGAGATTCAACAGTTAAATTAAGCCCAGACTCAAGGTGCATAGTTTTAGCTCTTAGGAACCACAGTGAGCCACTCTACCAGCTTACTTTGGGATGAAGAGATACTGCATCACACATGGCCTTTAGTATCATTCAAAAATATATGCTATTACATAAACAGAAGTTATGGATTCAATGAAAGCTTTACTTAGCATTGCTGCAAGCCCAATATGTGATCTGAAGGGTTCATAATATCTCAGTTCCATATTATTCACCTTGGATGAATTTTTAGGATTCAAACATAAAAAGTAAAAAATTGTCCCAAGCTGTGACATGAAACATCAATACATCCTGCAAACTGCCATCCAAAAAAAGTTCAGTTTGGATCAACTGAAACTTAAAAGAATGAATAATTTTGAATATTTTTTTATATATCCTTTTTAATTTTTATTTTCTTGCTGGCTGTAGATAAAAACAATGAGATTAGACACAAACCTATTGGGTTTCAAAATGGTAGACTGCCACGGCAAATTCTACCATTGTAAAAGAGGTGACACATTAACTCTGATCTACTCCTGTTGCAAATTTATTCTCCACAAACTGGCACTTCCTGACAACATGAAGAAGTTGCAGCAGAAAAGTCCTGTTGATCTCAGTCACGACCCTTTCCTGATCTTAAATATTTATTAAAAAAAAATAATATAAACTCTTAAAATTCAGCTATCTTCAACTGCTTTTATGCAAGCTCTGCTTCCTTTTCATTTCTAGGTACATACAGTGGGTGGTACCAGCTTTGCACATTAGACCGGGTTGTCTAGTATGTGACAGCTTCTGCACAGTTTTCCATTGCAACATCTTCACTGGGTTCCCCAGTAAAACGGCCAGCTCTTGAATGACAGATGTACTCACCTGACAGAGTGCAATATGTAAATGGAGGAACAAAAGGATCTGAAACTGCCTTAGGGAGGGAGGTCAGGTGAAGGTTAATCAAAGGAAATGACAGTTCGATGGTATGCACGGCCCTTGAGATTACATGTGTGTGTTTTGCTGGGAAATATTTAACTGCTTTAGCTCTATTTAGGAAGAAACCAAAATAAAGTGCATATATGAAAAAAATACTGAAGAATCCACAGAGGGCTTCTTGGCCCAGTAGAGCTCGCATCGGTGGGATGCAAACTTGCCAGCTGAGAGGTGAAAAAAGCCAAAAGATGACAACTTTTCATTTGGTTTAACTATCATAAAACATTTCACTAACATAAAATAAAACACAGTAGCTGGGAAGCTACTGAAATTCAATAAAGCCCTTATTTATATTGTTTCCGTATTTATCCCCAATATTTAGTAGCCTTCTCCCAGAATGGGCTCTGGAACTAATGAAGTGAAACTGCAGCTAGAAAATACTGTAGAAGTCTAGAGAAACTCATTTGTGTCTTGTAATGAACTTGGTTTGGCCATGTTCCTGCCTCATTTGCATTTCCTTCCCAACAAGTATCACACACTTGGATTTTTCTTTCAATAGTACTTTCAAAGCCTGATTTTAAGTTTGCAGGCATGTAGAAAGGTATTTCCAAATACACTTTCCTCAAACATTTAATCATGAAATTTATTTTAGTATTTGTCCTCAATTAATTATGTAATTAAACCAGTAGCACATGACTTCTCAATCACAGATAGGTAACACACCCTGAATTCTGATTGCTAGTTTTGATTCAAAACAAAAAACCCCAAGTCAATAGAACTCATGAAAGATTTTTGACAACTTTTTTTTTATTCTTCCCACAGAATAAAAGGCAAAATTCACCGAATGAATTATTAATTATGAGTTATTCATCCAGCTCTACTAGAAACTAATCTGTTTCTTTTTTTAAGCATCAAAAAGGTCTTTCAAATATAAGTTGCAATAATGAAATATGGCAGCAGATCTTGAAATGCGTCCTCACCCAGTCTGCAGATACGTAAAAGGTTACAGCACCAGAGTTATTAATCCCCCGTCACTCTGACAATTGATTTTGAACAGTCTGTTGCAGTCTTTATAATTCAAGATCATAAATGTTCAAAACTAATTTATTGCTCTTTGTTCCACCTGGCAAAAATATACTGTCAAAGTGAGTCGTGTTGACACAAAGATGCAGATGAGTCTTTAAGTCTTATTTTTATCCACATCTGTAAATTTGTTTGCAATACCTGTGTGTGATTAGAACTATTCAAAAAGGAGCAAAGAAAGAGGAAGAAATTATGCTGTCTTTAATGAACAGGAAATATTTACACAAATAGTAATAGGTATTTCTTTTAAACTTAATGGGGATGAGTCATTGTTTTAATTTGTCAGTATTGATATTTTTGGTTTGCACTGGGTTCCCTGGAAGCTGTCAGATTTTCAAAGGTACACATGTAAAAGCTCTTGCTCTATATGCATATTGACATACATACCAGGCAAGGATTCCCACAGACCAATGAGGGATATGCAAAACCTTTCGTCCTACATGGCTTTTTTTTTTTTCTTTTGAATTAGTGATTTTGAAGCCTGAACCAATTCCACTCATACTGAAAATTCCTGAACTTGCCTTTTCTGCATGCAGCAGTTGCCACCACTCTGCCCATGCCAGGGAAGTGCCAACATCCAAAAAGGGACAATCCAGAAAAGGAAGGAGAAGGGCAAAAAGAGCGAAAGGGACGCACTTTACACCAATATAATACATTCATCTGTAAAAATAAAGGGGGGGGTGGGTTAAGGATCAAAAAGAATATATTACAAGGAAGTTTAAGAATAAAACCCTGTTCCATACAGCAAGCATTCCATAATGAATGAATTACAAGTTTCCTAAAGCCTGCTACTGAAGCAGGGAACTGAAACACAAAGGGAAGAAAAACAGAAGAGCATTTCAACATCAAAAATATGCCTATTCAGAAGTCTGTTTCTCAGTCTCTGAAGTATTTTTTCTCAGTAGAAAGATGAACCTGTAAAATTACTGTTCTTTTCAAAATAACCACATAATACTTCTTTAATAACACTTTTCAATCTTGCATATTTTACAGCCTAAGAATATAAACTTCATCTTTCTATTATCTAGGGGCAGAATCAATTGATTGCCCTGGCAAGTTTGCTCCATTTGAATTAGTATTTTTACTGTGATTATGAAATAGGAGAGCTATCTGACCGCATGCTAGAACTGCCGCATTCATGACTCTTAGACATCTGTATGATATTGAAATTAATTTCCAGTATAAAACAGTTAACAGAATAACCCGAGATAAAGGAAGTATAGTATTAATTTAATTCTTCTTGTTGGCAATGTTGTAAAGTCCATTGCTCAAGTAAGGAACACTTTTCTGAGCCAGATACAAATTAATTTTGCCATTCTTCTTCAAATACTAATTTTAAAAGTCAACTAAAGGCTACAGCAGCTTTGAAACATTTCAGTGATTGTTTTAATTACCTATCATACAGCTGTGAGACACTGTGAAAGGGAGCGGTGGAGAGAGAAGGGAGAACAACACCTGGTATGCGAGCAATTGTTTTCTGACAGAGAGAAGAAAAAGCAGTTTCCAAGCACTCAGCCCAACAAAAATCTAGCACAGTCAACACAGAATATTTTTTCTATCAGTACATTAATGTGGTATTTTTATTCTGGACTGCGTGTTTTTGTTCCGTCAATAACTACTTTCACTGTTAAATAACACCACCAAATCTCCAAACGTTAAATATATGACTTCTGACAGCTTTTAAAGCTTGCTTTTCAACCCAAAGTTGATGCACACGCTACAATAACTTGCTAAAGGCACACTTGGGGCTTCTTTCTAGGGTCTCATTCTCTAGGAAAAAAAGCTCACTGCACTTTTACCACAACTACAAAAAAAAAAGGCATGTTTTTGTCATTCCAACCCTTAATAGAATTGGAATCTAGAGGCTATTAGGACTTCTGATGGCCTTTGACACCCTGGCTTCCAGCACCTCAGCAATCAGTCAGTGCTGGGGTAACAAAAGACCACTCAAATGTACAGTTGTCATCCCCACACTACATCTGTTGGCCACGCTGTTAGGAAGTGTTGACCCCATCATTTCACCATAAACACTGACGAAATCAACAACAACAAAAACAGAAATGAAAAAGGAAACTGGATGTCAGAAGTCAGGTCAGCACATTTTATTTGCACATGTGTCAGTAAAGATAGAAGGAATCACTGAATTAAATTAAATCAAAGCAAACCTGCTAATTAAAACAGCTAAAATTATGTTTGTGAAGATGTGTGACTGGTTTCCTGCTTATCTGCAAATAAGCCTCCCCATAATATAAACATGTTTCTATCTCCACTTCATTTATAATAAGTCTTTAGGCAGATTGTAATTAGTATTTTGAGTTTCTAATAGAAGATCTTTGTGTTACTGGAGAAATATTTTCCCTGACCATAAAATACTTATTATTTCAGCTTCTCTTCAAGGGTTCTCACCTGTTCTTCTCATGCTGGTCAGTCTTCTATCCAATTTATCTGAATCAAATTGTTTGGGTATGCATCTGAATACCACCATCTTCATAACATATTGCTTGTAGGTAACCACAAATGCGGTTTGAATGTATTCAGCTCCACCTACAAGCCAAACCAA